ATGATTATAGCCCTCCCTGTCCATACTACAAGTGCAGGCAGGGCTTTTTTTGTAGAAAAAGCCCAGCAGGAACTCATTAGCATAATAGGCCACACCCAACAGCAGAAACCCATTAGCATATTAGGCCACACCCTGACAGCACAGCTCAGTAGCACATTAGGCCGCAACCCCATGTTACCAGAAGTGTGGTCATCCAGCCACACCCACCTTTTGCTTCTTATTCTGTTTACCTTGTTTGTTGTCAAAACCCAGGGCTTTTTTGGTAGCAGGAACTCCTTTGCATGTTAGGCCACACACCCCTAATGTAGCTAATCCTAATGAATTTCTGCTGTTGGGTGTGGCCTGTTATGCTAATGAGTTCCTGCTGGGCGTGGCCAACTCAGGAGCCAGACGGAACTCCGTTCCTGTGCGTTCCTGCCCAAAAATAGCCCTGATCCATATATATATCTATATCTAGTACAGTAAATAAAAGCCAATATAATATAATAACTGAAACTGAAAAATCAATAATGTAAAAATTGCCTTCCAATTCTGGTCCCCAAAACAAAGGTGTAACTATCTAATCACAGCCGTACAGAAATGTATGAGGTCACTTGTATTGTATTCTGTTGTCACTTGTACTATCCTTTGTGTTCAGGTCACTTGTATTTTGTAATGAGCTTTCATTGGGCCCTTATATGTTTTTGTCTTCCTAATAAATACATGTATTTTTGTATAAAATAAGTTTTTGATATTGGCCCTTTATCAGGCTTCTTTCTTAGCCTTGTGGTTCTTGATGCCGGGTAATGGGTCGAGTTTGTTTTCCCCTCCCAGTGTCTTACTCTCCTATTCCTCCAACAGGTACAAAGCCGTCACAGATGCCTGCTCACTGCAACCCGATATTGACCTTCTGCCTTTTGGGGATCAGACAGAAATTGGTGAACGGGTAAATAAAGAAGGGTGGTCTTTCTTGTGCAGTTGACCTGTAAATGTCACTGCTTACAGAGGTCATACCATCAGAGATAGCTTTCGGGGTGCCAGGTCCATGTTGGGAAATACCTGGAGATTTTGGGGGTAGACCCCGAGGAGGGTAGGATTTGGGAAGGGGCTTAAATGGGGTATAATGCCATAGAGTCCACCTTCCAAAGCAGCCATTTTCTCCCAGTGAACTGACATCTATCGCCTGGAGGTCAGTTGTAATAGCGGGAGATCTCCAGGCATTACCTGGAGGTTGGCAACCCTTGTCTGTAGAATCCGCAGTGCCACCAACATTTTTACTGACAATGTTGTAGCTTCCACCTTCCAGTCTAGACAAAGTGGCTGTTCTTGTCCCTGTGCTGTACGACTGTGGCTGATGCAAGTCCTATCTCACTTACAAAGCGTTTCTTCCCCTGCTCTGGGTAGCCTTGGCAATATTGCCCACTAAACCCAGGAGTCCAGACCAGAGTTCTTCAAAAGGCAGCTTTGGGGATAGTCCCTTTATGTCTTCCAATGAGTCCCTTCCAACATTCCCTATTTCATTCCTTTCTTCTGTTGGCCTCCATTTTGTCAACCATTTTGGCTCTCTGCTTTTCACTATCGGTTGCATCTTTTGGCACTGGGTTTCAAACATTTGTGGCGTTTGTACACGTAGTATATGTATAATGCTGGTTTGTGGACACATAATTGGGAATTGTGTGCATTTGATACAGGGTTGCCAGAACCCCCTGGTGGAGGTGGGGGTCCCCGCTGCCAGGCCCCACTTCCCTACAGCCAATCAGCTGGCTGGCTGGTGAGGCATTTACCCTGAAAAAGAGGGAGGTCCACCTGACATGCAGCAACGTGTCTGCACCACTGCCCATGTGACCTGAAAGTGACATCATCACATCTGGGGCGACACTCTAGTATTTGGGCAAAACCTCTATGGTAGGAGCCAAATTTTCCATAGAGTTTTTGCCCAAATACTAGAGCATTGCCCCAACATCCTGGGCGTGATGATGTCACTTCCGGGTAACGTGGGCAGTGACATGGACATGTCACTGTATGTCCTATGGGCCTCCCTGCTGCTCCCAGTAAATCCTGTCCCATCTCTCGTCGGCTGCCAGGATTGACCTTGCAACCCTAATTTGATAGGAAGAAGTCGATGCGGGGAAACAAAAAATAGTAAGAAAGTCAACAAAAGTCGCCTTGATTCACATGAGGAAATAGTGAAACCAAAACAGGGATTTGCGGGTTGAAACAGCTGTGATGACGAATTTTATTTGTTTCATTTTAAACATTTTTAAGCCGCCTTACTGAGAAACGCTTCCTTACTTAAGATGCTTGGCTACTAAGTATCCTAAAATGTAATACAACCTAGTTGTATTATATAAATTTCTGAGATATAAAAAATTCCAATGTAGTTTTAAAAAATAATCTGCAAACATACATGCCAAAAGACAACCGCTGCAAAAATTCATCTAAACCAGGTGTGTATAGGTATATGATCAGCTTTCTGATAATAATATAAAATGTACACATTCAAATACAATATTTATATATTACTGTAACAGAAGTGTATTAATGTGCCCTTTCCAGGAGAATCCTCTTTTTGAGATAATCTTTATAATGAAAATGTTCGTATCTCTCATCATTAAATCAATTGTGTTGAGCATGGCCTGCGTATAACTACAAAGCTTCTTATACACTGTGTGACCCAGAGTGTTGGACTGGATGGGCCTTTGGCCTGATCCAACATTGACGTCTCTCTTAAACGCTTTCTTACTTAAGATGCTTGGCTAGTAAGTATCCTAAAATGTAGTACAACATAGTTGTATTATATAAATTTCTGAGATTTAAAAAATTCCAATGTAGTTTTTTAAAATAATCTGCAAACATACATGCCAAAAGACAACCGCTGCAAAAATTCATCTAAACCAGGTGTGTATAGGTATATGATCAGCTTTCTGATAATAATATAAAATGTACACGTTCAAATACAATATTTATACATTACTGTAACAGAAGTATATTAATGTGCCTTTTCCAGGAGAATCCTCTTTTTGTGATAATCTTTATAATGAAAACTTTCGCATCTCTCATCATTAAATCAATTGTATTGAGCATGGCCTGCGTATAACTACAAAGCTTCTTATAACAAACCAGAAAAGCTCCACCATTTATTAGCTGAAAGAAATGCTTGGAAATGATGACTGTAAACACACAATCACAGCTGGTTCTTATAGAGTCGATCATATACGTTAAAAAATCTGGTTTAGGTATATCTTTGCAGCTGTGTATTACAATTATCTGTGTTTATGGTTTATGCTATTGTTACTTTGTGATGGACTCTTAAATGTTGGCATTGTATAAGCTGATGTCCATGCAAAAGTTATTCAAGACACTGATATTGATTCTCTACTGGAATGTATTACTGTGCTGGCCTATAACCGTAATAAACAATTCGTTTGTTAGTTCTTTCGATTGTTCGTTCATTCGTTCGTTCGTTCATTCGTTCTCTGCTGTATCCATTAGGGAATTAACTTAAGTGGAGGCCAGAGGCAACGCATCTGTGTCGCACGCGCACTCTACCAAGGCGAACTCTAGGGTAATAAACTATACGGCAGCATAGCTGACAGAAGGCTTCTTCCACTACAGGAAAGAGCCTCTGATAGCAGAATGAATGCATGCAGAGAGGCAGCCCATCACACACTTGAATATTGGCATTCGGATGCACAGGATTGGGCTGCTCTCTTAAACGTTGGTTCTCAGCTTCATGGAAATTTGCACTTTGGATGGTCCAGGTGAGCCCGATCTTATCAGTTCTCATATGCTAAGCAGGGACAGTCCTGATTAGTGCTGGGATGGGAGATCACCAAAGAAGTCCAGGGTTGCTACGCAGAGGCAGGCAATGGCGAACCACCTCTGTTCAGCTCTTGCCTTGAAAACCCTACAGGGTCTCCATGAGTCGGTTGCAACTTGATGGCACTTCCCACCACCAGGAAAGGTCAACAGGACCTTTCTGCCTAGTTGGATCCTATGCCCTCTTTCTTCTAAGAGTTCCTTTGATGACTGTTCTCTATTGGAGGAGAACCTAGCGGAAGTTCTGGCATCCAACTCAAAGGGTGATTTCCCACTAGCGCTGCTCCGCGCTCACTCCTCCCTTTTGCCCCGATGGTACGTGTCAATTTCACACAAGCTGCTGCGGGGCCGCATTTTGCCCCGCAGCTTCGTGCGATTTTCCCCACGTCTACTCAATCCTCAAAAAACAGGATTGAGTAGATGCGGGGGAAATCGCACGAAGCTGCAGGGCAAAATGCAGCCGCGCAGCAGCTTGTGTGAAATTGACACGTACCATCGGGCCGAAGAGAAGAGTGAGCGCGGAGCAGCGCTTGTGGGAAATCGCCCAAAGTGTCCTGTGCATTAAGGCAGAGCTGTTGCAGTCTGGCATTAAAATCCATGAATGTCCCAAAAAAAAACCCTGAACTCTGGATCTGGTCTAGAGTGGATTGAGCCACTAGATCCAGCTTTGCGGTGGTGACATCAGCACTGCATGTCAGCCCAGGGGATTCAGTCCCTGCTGTGGCATTCCCAAGATATGTTTTGCAACTGAACACATAAACCTGAATATCTGGGGTGACTGTTCATCAATGGTTGGTTGCATTGGCTGCTGGAACCCTTCCCCTTTCCTCCTCCTAAATATTTCATTTTAAGTTCCCTCTCCCCCCGTCCCATTAAATGGTCGGGCAGTCCAGAATTGGAATAGAAATTTGCAAGTCGCCATCTTGGATCTTTTTACTCTGGTTTTATTTTTTATAGAACTGTATATGGAAATTTAAAATTTTGTATCTTTGTTATATGGCATCGCGCCCTTTGTACATCGCCCAAAGCTCGGTGTAAGCTGGGATAGGGTGATTAAGAAATCAAATTAATAATAATATTAAGTATTATTATTATTTGTTAAACAGTAAGAGCTGGTTCCTAATGGTCTTTTCCCGTTTTTGTCATTTCAGGATGACCCATTTTCTGCCTTGGACATTCATCTGAGTGACCACCTGATGCAAGAAGGTATCCTGAAGTTCCTCAAGGATGACAAAAGGACTCTTGTGTTAGTGACTCATAAACTGCAGTACCTACCGCATGCGGATTGGGTAAGAGAGAATCTGCTCCCTCCCCCATCAGAATTGTTAGGTCCAATCAGCCATCCTCCTTATCTAGTTCTCTTACTCCTCCCAGCGCCCACACATGTCTTGCATGGGGAGCATGAAGCTGTCCTATTTAGTTGTGTATCCCCAGAATATAGGGGCGATCAAAAGCGGTATATTCTACTTGCATTGGCTAAACAGCTTACTGGTAGACTTGTCCTTTTTGACTTCGCCGAGTCCTCTTTCCAAAGGCATCTAAGGCAATGGTTTTCACCCCATCTATGTGGAAATGAACTGTGAAAGCATGGCAAGGTTAGATATTCATTTTTGTTTAGTCCTGATCCTATAACTAGTCAGTTTCATTGCACGAGTCCAAGTTTCTGGGCTGCCTGCGGATTCTTACAGACCCGTTGGAGAATCAGTCCCTTGTCTGTGCGTGAACTCGTATGGTTTTTGTCATCCTCACAAAAGCCAAGTTTACTATTAGATACAGGGTTAATAGGCATGTCCTAATTTCCAAAGAAGTAAGTAATGGGGTGTTCTTGTGAGATAGCTTCCATAGTTTGATGTAGTGGTTGACTCTAATCTGGGAGAACCGGCTTTGATTCCCCACTCCTCCACATGCAGCTGCTGGTGTGACCTTGGGTCAGTCATAAGTTCTTTCAGAGCTGTTCTCTCCAGAGCAGTTCTCAGTCAGAGCTCTCTCAGCCCCACCTACCTCACAGGGTGTCTGTTGTGGGGAGGGGAACGGAAAGGAGATTGTAAACCGCTCTGAGACTCCTTCGGGTAGTGAAGGGCGGGGTATAAATCAGATCTCTTCTTCTCCTTCCTAGATCATTGCCATGAAAGATGGAACTGTGCATAGAGAAGGGACACTGAAGGACATCCAAAACAATGACGTTGAGCTATATGAACACTGGAAAACTCTTATGAATCGCCAGGACCAGGAATTAGAAAAGGTAACTGCAAACAACAGGCAAGTCAAGGCTTTTGATTCATATTTTGTGCGTCATATACTGAGGAATGACTATTTCTCCTAAAGTAGCTAATCCTAGAACTTCCCTTGTTTCCTCGGCCATCCAGTTTCAAGAGGTTGGAAGCACTTTGGAGAGGGTTTAGAAACTCTCGAACTGTCCAGCGACACTGTGGTTGATTGCCATTGGCTGACCACAACAATCCGTTGAAATACTTAGCAGTCCTCCAAGTCCATACCATCATCTAATCCATTATCCCCTTGCTTTGCTTGTTGGGAATCAGCTAAATCCGATCCCTATCCACTCTTTTGTTCCCTGATACCCTTCTGTAAGGCCCTATACATAGCCCCTAGGGTTGCCAGGTCTTACCTGTCTGCTGGCGGGGGTCTCCTGGCTTGGTCCCATGGTCTTCTGGCGCATGGGGCTCTTTGGAAGTGATGTCATCGCACTGGACATGTTGTACAGGGGATGCTCTAGCATTTGGCTAAAAACTCTATGGTCCACCTCCAGGTGATGTCATCATGCCGGGCACATCAGGCACAGTGGAGTTCTTTAAGGGCGGGGCTTCCCCTGCTGGCCAGCTGTCTGGTGGCAGATTGGGGGCCCCAAAATCAGGGGAACCCTTGCCCCCATTGGGAGCTTGGCAAACCTAGTAGCCCCGTTCACAAATTACAACTAACACATGCACAATTTGAGTATAGTGTACCCTTGATTTTTCCTCACATGTGTGTTGTGTAATTCTCATGTTACAGTCAACGCGTGTACAGCCGAATGTGTGATTGAAGCCACACGTTTATCCGGGCTCTGGTCCCCCATTCTGTTTGTAAAATCAATGCATGTTGGTTCTTTCTTACAAACAGATGCATGCATGGGCGTGGAGCTTGTGCTCACTGTCACATGTGAGCAGGGTTTGTGTGGAACCGGGGACACTGCAGTCATACCTTACTATCTGAACTTCCATAGTAGTTTGTTGGGTGAAGGGACTGCCAGACTACTTTCTGCTGCCCGTCAGTGCCCCCACTGTGGCAGATGGCTAGATGGTGGTATTGTCACTACTACCTCCAGAACAAAGTCATGTGACACAAGGGGCCAATAAGGTTACACCTGGCCCTCCAAAGCCACTGACTCTGGCCTGGATCTTCAGTCTGAGTTGTCAGTGAGGCACAGAATGGAATACACGCATAGGGTTGCCAACCTCCAGGTAGTACCTGGAGATCTCCCACTATTACAATTGCTCTCCAGATGACCATGATTAGTTCCCCTGGAGGAAATGGCTGCTTTGGAGGCGGGATTCTATGGCATTATACCCTGCTGAGGTCCCTCCTCTTCCCCAACCCTCCCCGGCCCAGGCTCTACCTCAAAATCACCAGGTATTTCCCAACCCAGAGTTGGTAACCTGCTTATTAACATACAACTCGTTGTCTTCCTCATTGGATTACAAATTAGTATACTGCCAGTAGCAGCCCGAATAGCCCAATTTGGCCCAAGTTCATTGGACTGGGATCTAAGCAGGGTTGGGCGTGTTCAGTACTTGAACTGGAGACCACCAAGGCAGACACATAACCTCGGGCCTGCCTCAGACTACCCTACCACACAAGGCTGCTGTGAGACTCAAGTGGAGGAGAGTGGAAGCCATGTAATGCCAGGCACGGGAGATATAAACTTTATAAAGGGCACCAATTAATGACATTATTCTTTACTACACAGACTTAAAGCATTAACACTTTGTAGGCTGCGATCACACTAGGCTTGCCAAGTCCCCCTGGGGTAACACATGCACAATTTGAGTATAGTGTACCCTTGATTTTTCCTCACATGTGTGTTGTGTAATTCTCATGTTACAGTCAACGCGTGTACAGCCGAATGTGTGATTGAAGCCACACGTTTATCCGGGCTCTGGTCCCCCATTCTGTTTGTAAAATCAATGCATGTTGGTTCTTTCTTACAAACAGATGCATGCATGGGTGTGGAGCTTGTGCTCACTGTAACATGTGAGCAGGGTTTGTGTGGAACCGGGGACACTGCAGTCATACCTTACTATCTGAACTTCCATAGTAGTTTGTTGGGTGAAGGGACTGCCAGACTACTTTCTGCTGCCCGTCAGTGCCCCCACTGTGGCAGATGGCTAGATGGTGGTATTGTCACTACTACCTCCAGAACAAAGTCATGTGACACAAGGGGCCAATAAGGTTACACCTGGCCCTCCAAAGCCACTGACTCTGGCCTGGATCTTCAGTCTGAGTTGTCAGTGAGGCACAGAATGGAATACACGCATAGGGTTGCCAACCTCCAGGTAGTACCTGGAGATCTCCCACTATTACAATTGCTCTCCAGATGACCATGATTAGTTCCCCTGGAGGAAATGGCTGCTTTGGAGGCGGGATTCTATGGCATTATACCCTGCTGAGGTCCCTCCTCTTCCCCAACCCTCCCCGGCCCAGGCTCTACCTCAAAATCACCAGGTATTTCCCAACCCAGAGTTGGTAACCCTATTAACATGCAACTTGTTGTCTTCCTCATTGGATTACAAATTAGTATACTGCCAGTAGCAGCCCGAATAGCCCAGTTTGGCCCAAGTTCATTGGACTGGGATCTAAGCAGGGTTGGGCATGTTCAGTACTTGAACTGGAGACCACCAAGGCAGACACATAACCTCGGGCCTGCCTCAGACTACCCTACCACACAAGGCTGTTGTGAGACTCAAGTGGAGGAGAGTGGAAGCAATGTAATGCCAGGCACGGGAGATATAAACTTTATAAAGGGCACCAATTAATGATATTATTCTTTACTACACAGACTTAAAGCATTAACACTTTGTAGGCTGCGATCACACTAGGCTTGCCAAGTCCCCCTGGGGTGTGGGGAAACCCCCACCCCAGAGGCCCGTTCCCTGCCGCCGCCGGATCGGGCCCCGGGGCGAACTCCACCCCGACGTGCATGTCACCAAGAAGTGACGTGACCATGCCGGGGGACGGCCGGGGGGGGGCCACGGTCATCCGAGGGAAAACTCTATGGTTTTCCTGGATTGACCCGGGAGTCCCCCGCTTCAGGACGAGGTACGACTTGGCAACCCTAGATCACACGCGCCTTTAGATCCGACAGAGGTGCGAATGCCTGATGGGTCTAAGGGGAGCGATCAGAGAGCAACATCTGGGAAGTGTCCCGCAGTCGTCAGCAACCCACGCTGCTCCGCCGGAGAAGGGGAGTTAAGACTGGTCTGGTAGTCTGTACTGGTCTGGTAGTCTGGTAGTAAACAGTCTCTGACAGGCCACAGGCAGACTTTCCCCTGTCTGATCGCGCAAGCACGCTCTCGTGCCATCGCGATGGTCTGATCAGGCCATTCTGGTTCGGTGCCAGTCCCCCCCCCCTTCGTAGTATATGCATCATTGCAGCCTCATTGCAGACTCCATAGGGGGCCCGCTGTGTGGAGGTGCGATTCCTCGTTTATGCGCATGGGAAACAAACAGCCAAAAAAAACTGACTCCACCCGTACTTGCGTCTGATCACACAGTGACGGGCTGCGTCCACAGCTACGAAGGGATATGTGATCTCACAACTGCCTCGCTTTCCCTCCGCTTCAACAGGCATGTGTGACCACAGCCTTACAGTATTTTCTTAAAGTATCTCCCTAGTGCCCACCCTCCCACTTCCACCATCCATTACTCAGCACTGGGGCAGTATGTTGTTGTTGTTCAGTCGCACAGTCAAGTCCGACTCTTCGCGACCCCATGGACCAGATCACGCCAAGCCCTCCTGTCTTCCGCCGTCCTCTGAAGTTTGCTCAATTTCATGTTCGTTGCATCAGTGGCACTGTCCAACCATCTCATCCTTTGCCGCCCCCGTCTTCTTTGACCTTCAGTCTTTCCCAGCATCAGGGTCTTCTCCAGGGAGTGCTCCCTTCTCATTGGGTGGCCAAAGTATTTGAGCTTCAGTTTCATTATCTGGCCTTCCAGGGAACAGTCAGGGTTGATTTCTTTTAGGATTGACTGATTTGATCTTCTTGCAGTCCAAGGGACTCTCAAGAGTCTTCTCCAGCACCATAGTTCAAAAGAATCTATTCTTCGGCGCTCGGCCTTCCTTATAGTCCAACTCTCGCAGCCATACATGACTACTGAAAGACTATTGAAAGAGGTAGTCAATCTTTAAAGGTACAATTGTCCAAGGCACCGCCCTTCTTGTCAGCAAACTCTCTTACAGTCTTTGAACCCAATCTTGCAATGTTTAAAATTTGGGTGGCAGGATATGGAAGCGGACCAAACAACTCTGGAAAGGAAGACTCTCCGCAGAGCCATGTACCCGAGAGAGTCCAAGGCACAGCTGGAGGACGAGGATGAAGGTGAGGGTGAGACATTGCCTTTATTTACTTGGGCTGTCTTCAGATGTCACGCTTAAGCACAGCGAAGGCAAAACGTTCAGGAGCCCGGCTTGTTTCTAGGTCCTGGGTGCCCCAGGCTTCTTCGCCTCTATTCACGTGCAGAGAATTGTGGTTAAAAACAAACAAACTCTGGTTACCAGGGACATAACTATTCCACATGGGTAGGTTTACTAGAGTTAGTTTGCTTACCCCCAGCATCTGGAATTCCAAACTGGGATTAAACTGTTTCTTTGGGGCAAACTACACATGATGACATTTACAGGGATGCAGGGGTCATTTCCTGCAGGAGCGCACAGGAGCGGAGCTCCGGCAGTAAAGAGCCCAGCGGGTGGGCACATGCAACAGGCCCCACCCCCTGCTCCCAGCAGCCCTCAGACAGAGCAAGAAGCAGCCAGGGAAGCTGCCGCGCCCCCAGCCCCCCCCCCCGGCCCACCTTCATGTACAAGCTCTCCCTCCTTTGTGAGGGCAGATCTGCGCGTTCCCCCCACCCAATAGCTAGCAATCCAAAACAGTCCAGTGGCACCTTTAAGACCAAGTTTTTTTCAGGTACAAGCTCTCCTTCCTCTGTGAGGACAGATCTGCACGTTCCCCTCCCCCAAATAGCTAGCAATCCAAAACAGTCCAGTGGAGCCTGAGCGGTGGGTGTTGCCTTCTGACACACTTCCGGTGATGTCAGGGGGTGTGGCATATGCAAATGACTAATGCTAATGAGTTGTGCTAATGAGCTCCTGCACCACTTTTTCTACGAAATGACCCCTGCGGGGATGACTTGTGGCCGCTGGCTGGCACCATTTTAAAGGGATTTAGAAATGCTGCGAAGATCTGCAGCATGGGGGAGGGGACTGCAAAGAGACGGGGTGCTTTCACACATGCTAAATAATGCCATTTCAATCCATCAGTGGCTATTAAGTAAAGGTAAAGGTAAAGGTTCCCTTGCTCGAAAGCCAGTCGAATCTGACTCTAGGGTTGTGGTGCTCATCTCCGTTTCAAAGCCGAAGAGCCAGCGCTGTCCGAAGACGTTTCCGTGGTCATGTGGCCGGCATGACTAAACACCAAGGTGCACGGAATGCTGTTACTTTCCCACCAAAGTGGTACCTATTTATCTACTTGCAATTTCTTGCTTTCGAACTGCTAGGTTGGCAGGAGCTGGAACTAGAGATGGGAGCTCACTCCATCATGTGGCAAGTTTATAAAGTTTATACTGTATTATTCGAGAGGGTGGAGCATTGCGGGAGGCCAGGAAAAAGGGGGGAAGGAGTGGAAGAAAGGGATATATGGGGGGGGGATGAAAGTATACAAAATGTAATGTTGTTTGCTAATATATCCAAATAATAAAAATTGTGTTATATTAAAAAAAAAACCCAGTGGGAGGGCTTCTAATGTCCTGGCCCCACTGGTGGACCTCCTGATGGCACCTGGTATTTCTGGCCACTGTGTGACACAGAGTGTTGGACTGGATGGGCCTTTGGCCTGATCTAACATTGGCGTCTCTTATGTTCTTATGTTCACTTCTGCAACCGTTTGCAAGAGGATTTTGCCATTTCACATGGCAAAATCCAGTTGCAAAAAACATTGAAAGTGGATTGAAAGTGCACTATTTAGTGTGTGTGAAAGTGCCCACTGGGGTGGAAGAAAAAAAGAGGAGGAAGCGGACTTTGGGGAGGCGGTGACTCATAGGCAGAGCATCTGCTTGGCATGCAGAAGGTCCCGGGTTCAATCCCCGGCATCTCCAGTTAAAAGGATCAGGCAATAGTTGATGTGAGATGCTGAGGGAGCTGCTGTCAGTCTGTGCAGACAATACTGACCTTGAAGGACCAATGGTCTGATTTAGTATAAGGCAGATTCACATGTGTTCACCTTGAAAACTGTGTCCCCCTATTACCAGCTGATTATTAGGTGATAGTTATTACCCATTTTCCTCTTGCATGTTAGTTCTAAGAGGAAACTCTCAGAGAAGGTAACTCTTAAATGAGCCAATACCATAGTGAAAACTATACTCTGGGGGAAGAGCAGGGGTCATTTAGTAGAAAAAGAGGTGCAGGAGCTCATTAACATAACTTATTTGTATGTGCCACACCCCCTGACATCACCGGAAGTGTGTCAGAAGGCAACACCCACCGCTCAGGCTCCACTGGACTGTTTTGGATCGCTAGCTATCGGGGAGGGGGAACGTGCAGATCTGTCCTTGCAGAGGAGGGAGAGCTTGTACCTGAATAAAACTTGGTCTTAAAGGTGCCACTGGACTGTTTTGGACCAGAGGGTCGGGGGGGACGGGGACTCTGCAGCTTACCTGGCTGCTTCTTGCTCTGACTGAGGGCTGCTGGGAGCAAGGGGTGGGGCTTGTTGTATGTGCCCGCCCCCTGGACTCTTTACTGCCGGAGCTCCGCTCCTGTGCGCTCCTGCAGGAAATGACCCATGGGGAAGAGTACACAGTCTTATGAGCCACTCTGGTTCACACATGCATGTATGCTTATTGATTTCTCTACCCACCATACACAAAATGGCAGCTGTTATAGATGAATGTTCTGTTGCAGGTGTTACATCTGTAAAGGCTCATTCACACAGGCATGTCATCCCAAGATGTTTCAGTCTTCAAACATAGAATATGCATGTGTAGGTTCTCAGCATGTTTAAGCACACAGAGGGATAAATCCTCCCCAAGTTGTAGGGGTCATTTGTGGATCCAAGATATGTATGGCAGATGTACTGGCTAAGTGACATTTGTGACCCATCAGAGGAAGAAGAAGAGGAAGATGAAGACGACACCATGTCTACAGCGATGCGACTCAGGACAAAGATGCCTTGGAAAACCTGCTGGCGATATCTCACTTCCGGAGGATTTTTCTTACTCTTCCTCATGATCATTTCTAAACTGTTGAAGCATTCGGTCATTGTGGCCATTGACTATTGGCTGGCCCAGTGGACATCAAAGAACCAGAACCAGAACCACACCCAGACCTTTTGTTCTACCGAAGGTTCCATCGAAGAGAGCAAGGTAATGGTTTGCCAAAAGGTAACAGTTTGACTTGTAGTCGAGGTGTCCGGGATCGGAATGTGGTGCTGCAAAACACTCATGAAAAGAGAAAGGACTTGGGAATGATATTGTTCCTGGAGGACGTATCTTACCAGGTCTACTTTCCAACCAAGCTGTCACCTATTGGTCTTTAAGGTAAAGGTAAAGGTTTCCCTTGCTCGAAAGCCAGTCGAATCTGACTCTAGGGGGCGGTGCTCATCTCCGTTTCCAAGCCGAAGAGCCAGCGCTGTCCGAAGACTTCTCCATGGTCATGTGACCGGCATAACTAAATCCCGAGGCGCATGGAATGCTCTTACCTCCCCATCGAAGCGGCATCTATTTATCGACTTGCAATTTCTTGCCTTCAAACTGTAAATACAGGCTAGCTTGATCTCATCAGATCTCAGAAACTAAACAGGGTCACCCCTGGTTAGTACTGGGATGGGAGACCGCCGGGGAAGTCCTGTAGACCACCAAGGAAGTCCAGGGAAACCATCAAGGAAGTCCAAAGTTGATACACAGAGGCAGGCAATGGAAGACTTCCTCTGTTTGTCAGTAGCCTTGAAAATCCTATTGATTTGAAAAGCACCATTTTGCCTTCCCAAAATGTTGTATGTAGCAGCATAAATAGTCCAGTTCACCAACGGAAGAGTACCATTTTGCCTTCCCAACATGTTGTATGTAGCAGCATAAATAGTCCAGACTCCAGATTGGCCTAGTGGCTCCCATTGAACCCATCCATGGGACACAGTTTCATGTGGGAGAGATATAAGCAAAATCCTGCCCTCTTCTCGAGATGCCCAATGGGACAGAAAAAGTAAATGAAATAAGTGTAAATATCACCTTCCAAATTTAAATCTGAGATCGAGATTTTCTAGCCTCTGCATACATATTAACGGTAAAAGGTAAAGGTTTCCCTTGCTCGAAAGCCAGTCGAATCCAACTCTAGGGTGTGGTGCTCATCTCCGTTTCCAAGACGAAGAGCCAGCGCTGTCCGAAGGCATTTTCCGTGGTCATGTGGCTGGCATGACTAGACGCCGAGGCGCATGGAGCTCTGTTATCTTCCCACCAAAGCAGTACCCTATTTATCTACTTGCAATTTCTTGCTTTCGAACTGCTAGGTTGGCAGGAACTGGGACCAGAGAAGGGAGCTCACTCCATTATGCAGTACTCGGGTCTCAAACTGCTGACCTATAGACCTTCCGGTCTGCAGTTCAGCATCTTAACCAGGGGTCGTTTCATAGAAAAAGAGCTAGGGGAACTCATTAGCATAACTCATTAACATATGCCACACCCCCTGACATCACCGGAAGTGTGTCATAAGGCCACACCCCCTGACATCACCGGAAGTGTATCATAAGGCCACACACACCGCCCCCAACGGTCCCGGTCCCTGGGGTCGTTTCGTAGAAAAAGAGCTAGGGGAACTCATTAGCATAACTCCTTAGCATATGCCACACCCCCTGACATCACCAGAAGTGTGTCATAAGGCCACACCCCCTGACATCACCTGCTAGGTTGGCAGGAACTGGGACCAGAGACGGGAGCTCATTCCATCATGCGGTACTCGGGTCTTGAACTGCCGACCTATAGACCTTCCGGTCTGCAGTTCAGCATCTTAACCACTGAGCCACCGCAGCCCCTTGCATACATATCAGGAGTATTCAAAATGCAAATTGGAAATCTGAACATATAAGTGAAAGGGGGTTTTTTTACCCCTCCACAAACCAATTTCAACACTAAATCGATAATAGAGTGTTGCATCTCCCACTAGGGTTGCCAACCTCCAGATGGGGCCTGGAGATCCCCCAGAATTACTACTGGTCTCCAGTCAAAAGACATCAGTTCCCCTGGAGAAAACGGCTGCTTTGGAGGGCGTACCGTATGGCATTGCACCCCACTGAATCCCCTTCCTTCCCCAAATCCTGCCCTCCCAAGACTCCACCCCTCCCAAATCTTCAGGAATTCCTCAACCCGGAGTTGACAGCCCTAGCTCCCACAGACATACAGATTACAAAATTGAGTCACATCCACAAATTTCATCCCCTCCCCCTACGATGCTAAGCAAAACAGGAAGTTCATGAACTACTGCGACAGAAGCCTTCTGGAACTATGACCCACCAGCTGGTCCACATCAGGGATGTCCGCATCATCTCTCTGAGGGGGTTTCATAATCCAGGGAAAATAAATGGTCTTTTTCCCAGGATCAGAAATATGTTCCTTGTCGTTTTAACAGAATTGCTACATAGCCGTATTCACTGCCCTCAGTGCTGCAGGGATCGTCCTTTGTCTTGTGACCTCCTTGACCGTCGAATGGATGGGTCTCATGGCAGCCAAAAACCTTCACCATAATCTCCTCAACAAGATCATCCTTGGCCCAATCAGGTACAGCCAGAATGAAATGAGTGGTCATGGTGATATGCATCTAGTACCTTAACCTCAGGGTCTCCTGAATAGGGATGGGCGTGAACCGCATTTTTGCAGTTCTGTTTGTGCTTCATAGTGGAACCATGCACTGAACCGATATGTTAGTTCGTGAGCTGAACCAGTTTGTATTGGTTTGTGCCCCTGCTTTCTGCTCCCCCCCACTTTTGGTAGGGAGCAGAAAGCAGGGGTTTAAATGGCTCCGAGTCATTTAACCCCTTGATTTCTGCTCCCCACCAAAAGCCGCTCACTGTGTGAGACAGGATGCTGGGCTAGATGGACTATTGGTCTGATCTTCTTACGTTCTTATGTTCAAATGCCCATTTGAAAGCCTCCTTGGGCTGCAAGGAAAGGCAGGGTATAAATATTTTAATGAATAAATGCCTATCATTTTAAAAGGTAAGCAAATTAAATCATTAGTTCTAAGAGTTCTAAACTTGGGGTTGTATAGGATGGGAGTGGAGGAGTGCACACAGAGATCAGAAGAATAATAGATGAACGTTCAGAGCAGGGGTGACCAAGCTTTAGCATTTTCTACATTGCCCGTCGGAGCTTATCACTTATAGTACTACGAGGAACAATTCCTGGTGAAAATGTGATTTCTTAGAATTGCATTCAGTGCTGGATAAAAGATAGAAGACACACTTTTGGAATGTATGGTCCTTGTTCAGATGAAGTCTTCACGAAACGAAGAACTACTCCGGAAAGTCAACCGCCATCATTATTATGGACCTCCTTTGCACTTTATTTCTAATTACATGAATGCTACAATAATTGTTTTAATGGCCCCGGTCACACGGGAGGATTTGCCCCGCAAGAGGGACGGATCGGGGGGACATCAAGCGGGCGCGATCACACTGCAACATCTGGGAAGCGTCACGCACCCTTCCCCGATCCATCCCTTTGGCCCGAAAACGCGCATTTAAAAGGTACTAGCAACAGAGCACTACCTTCCGGATGATGCGCGGCAACTCCAGGCGTCTGGTTAGGGAAGCACTGGTAGCCCATCGCAGCCAGCGCTGTTCCCCGTCCCACGCATGCGCACAGCCGTGCTACTGCCAGTTTGCTGCACAACATGTGATCGGCTGCCAGAGCACGGAGCCGCAGGGGCACGTCGGATCATGCTCCCGCGGTTCTTTTTGCTCCGGCTCTAATTTGCCTCCCTTCGGCAGCGGATCATCCCGCTCATGTGACCGGGATCATTATATTGTTTCTCTTAGAATGAGTAGCGCTTTTCTGCAGCTTTTTGTTCTGTTGCTTTGGCCGCTGTGTGAGACAGGATGCTGGTCTAGATGGACCACTGGTCTGATCCAGCAGAGCTGTCCTTAGGTTCTTAGGACTTATATCTCATAATGGCTTACACGATGCAACCTGGCTTGAGTCTCAGTTAGAAAGGCGGGCTATAAATAAAGTAAATAAAATAACATTTTCTCCTTGTTTTTTCTTTTGTTTTCTGCATCCAACAGATTCTTTGATACAACACCCTTGGGGCTGATTCTTAATCGCTTTTCTGCAGATACAAATATTATCGATCAGGTGAGCCCGCAGATTCAGTCTTTGGCAGAATTCACTGATCCACCTCATGGCATCGTTCAAAGTTTATTTCCCACCTGTTTGGATAAGCTTCCCGGGAACTAGACGGAAATTTTAATGACCCTGCAGGATTCCCGTGAGAGTGTCGATGCGGCGATCACAAAGGAAGATGTAAAATGAAAGCATATGAATACCGATAGTAATGATAGGTCCCTCCCTCTTCTGGTTTGACACTTTAAGCACTTCTTCACACTGATAGATCAAGATGGGTAGCCATGTTAGTCCGTCTGTAGCATTAGAAAAGAATAAGAGTCCAGTAGCCAGCTGCGGTGGCTCAAGTGGTTAAGACGCTGAACTGCAGGCTGTGGAAGGTCCAGTAGTTCAGCAGTTCGAGACCCGGGTGCTGCATTATGGAGTGAGCTCCCATCTCTAGTTCCAGCTCCTGCCAACCTAGAAGTTCGAAACCAAGAAACTGCAAGTAGATAAATAGGTACCACTGCGGTGGGAAGGTAACAGCGTTCCGTGTTCCTTGGTATTTAGTCATGCCGGCCACATGACCACGGAAACATCTTCGGACAGCGCTGGCTTTTCGGCTTTGAAACTAAGATGAGCACCGCAACCCTAGAGTAGGATTCAACTGGCTTTCGAGCAAGGGAACCTTTACCTTTACCTTTAGCACCTTGAAGACTAGCAACATTTGTGGCAGGGCAGGAGCTTTTGTGAGTCACCGCTCACTTCTTCAGATAGATATTGGAAAAAGTGAGCAGTGACTCACGAAAACTCCTACCCTACCACAAATTTTGTTAGTCTTTAAGGTGCTGCTGGACTCTTACTCTTTCCTTCACACTGGTTCTTCTATTCCCTAAACATCTTGCTTCCTTCTAGTACTTTCTATCAGATACTGTTTTCATTATAGATTCAGGTGGGTGACCGTGCTGGTCTGAGGCAACAGAACAAAATTTGAGTCCAGTGGCACCTTTAAGACCCACAAAGTTTAATTCTGGGTATAAGGTTTCATGTGCATGCACATTTCTTCAGATACATTGAAACAGAAATCACCTGCCAATACGTATAGGGTGTTGACAACACCCTCCCCACCCTCTACCTATATGTAATGGCTGGTGACTTCTGTTTCAAGGTATCTGAAGTGTGCATGAAAGCTTATACCCAGAATAAAACTGTTGGTCTTAAAGGTGCCGCTGGACTCAAACTTTGGTTCTGTTTTCACTGTAGTTTGATTTTGCTTTGGTGCATTTTTTGTGTGTGTGGAAACCCTCTTATGCCTTGGAAAGGTTGCATGTCAATATTTCAAAGCATCACCTGCCAACTCCAGCCTCAAGGGTGGCACTCCCAAATGGTGGGTGGGTGATGCCGGAGAATGAATCTACTCAACCATGTTGCCTAAGTGAATGTGAATTAAGAAGAGGGCAGGGGAGATGTACCCTTGCTTGCCGAAATGTTCGTTTCTAGAATGTTCGTCCTAATATAACATTTGGCAATCACCTTTGCAACAGCACATCCCTCCAACGCTGGAGTCGCTCACGCGGTCCACCTTGCTTTGCCTGTCTGCTATTGGGATGATTTCGTACGCCACTCCTTTCTTCCTAGTGGCTCTCGTGCCCCTTGGGATCGCCTTTTATTTCATCCAGAAATACTTCCGTGTGGCATCCAAGTGAGTATTCCAATGTGTCTAATGTCTTTCTGAATCAATGCCGATCAACCGGTGCCGTTACCACTCAGCAGGCACCAATTTCTATCACTGATTTTGCTTTTTAGAGAAAGCAAATTTCAACAAATAAGTTTAGAATAAGGGCTTCTCTTTGCTGTAAGCTGCTGTTTTCTGGGATTTAAAAAAAATTATTTATTCCTTGCCTTCTGTTCTTTGGGCGTAGGGACCTTCAGGAGCTTGATGACAGCACCCAGCTGCCTCTCCTCTGCCACTTTTCAGAAACAGCTGAAGGCCTCACCACCATCAGAGCATTCAGGTTTGTTCTCGTGGACTTCTCTTTGAATTTATGTTAGATATGATGATGATTCCCAACATAGCGCCCATAAGGGCTGTGGTTTCTGCTGATGTGTTTCCTTGGTCTAAAATGCACCTTGGGTCCAAAGAATCTTGAATAGAACCGAATAACACAAGAACCTTCAGGTCACTTCCTATCAGCTGACCAGCAATGGACTGAGCTTGTCTCCAGCAGCTGCATCAGGTTCAGATGCATCCCTCTTGGTAGAGGCAGTCCCTGGGAGCATTGGGGGGGGGAGCAGAGACTTTTTGGAAGTAACTTCCTGTTTTGAAACCATAGAGGTTTTTAAAATTCCTAGAGTGTCACATCACTTCCTGTTTTGAAACAGGAAGTTACTTCCCTGTGCTGTTCTCTGCTCCCATTTTCCTCCCACTACTCCACTGAGTGAGGATGGGGGACAGGGAGCATCACTGGGAGGTCCCCTGTCATTACCACGTAAGTGGTAGCCCTAACTCTCAGTTTGGTCATAGACACAGGTATTTACGTTTCTGGGCTTGGCAACCTCCCTGTCAGGAAGTGACCCTTCCCCTTTCTTTGGAAACTGAAACCGGGCATAATGTCTTTCCCACAGTAAATAACAAGTCTCCTATGCCAGCCATATTGAGACACTACATGCAACTTATCTATTGAGAGAGGGAGTTCCAGAGGTTTAGTACTACCACCGGAAATGACCCCTGTCCAGCTGCTACTGAGTGGTGAAGGGGCCCAGAGGAGGTCCAGATGCTGATTGCTGTGGAAAGGCAGGTCTGCAGAGGAGAAAATGAAGGTTATCCTTCAGATAACCTGGGCCTGAGAGATTTAAGGCCTTGTATGTCAAAGCCAATGCTTTGAATTGCACTCAGAAAAACGCCATTATAAAACCATTTTGGTGCAAGATATATAGAGCATTGAGCAAAATCTTAACATGTGAGGCAAAATGTATTGGGATATTTGGTTAATACAGCAGAGTTTTGCCCAGTCATAGAAGCGTGATGCTGAGTGCAGTAAATAAATCTCCCTAGAAAGATACTGCAAAAGAGCAAACGTACATTTATTCAAGTAGATCCAGTTCACATTCAAGTTGCAGTCAAAAGAAGAGTAAGAGGCCTAATCTAAAGAGTAATTTCCCTATCACAAATGGCCAGCTCTGTCCAGCATCATGTGTGCAGGGGAGTATGAAGGCACTGTATCTACAGGAGAGACCTACAGAGACATGTGTCCCCATGGAAGGCCATGTGCAGAGAATGAGATGACAAAGTGAGAGAGAGGAGGGGAAAGAGGGCAGCTCCCAGGTTAAGACAAAGAGGGGCATCCCATTGAAGGAGATAACGCCTATACACAAAGAGTGAAGTAGCACCCCCCAGTGTCCAGGCATACTGAGTTGCTCACTCCAACAAAATGTACTCCAGTGTTAGCAGCACTATTAGACCAAATGGAAAAGCTGTTCAAAAAGACACATTGATATTTTACGAGGAATTTGATTACAGCTACAGGCAGGGATCATTTGGGGCCGGAGCGAGCCGGAGCAGCGCTCCGGCAGCCTAGGAGTGGACACAAATGGTGGTGGTGGCAAGGCCCCGCCCCCAAGCTCTCCGCCCTCGCCCCCAGCTCCTTCTCTCTAGAGTCGTGCCACAGCAGTGGTGCGACCTTTCCATTGTATTCTATGACCCCATAGAATTCAATTGAAAGACTGTGCTGCCCCTGCAGTGCAACTCCAGAGAGAAGGGGTTCAAACTTTAAACTGGGGAAGCAAAAAAGGGGGAGGCATCTTCAAAAGCCTCCCATACCCAGCCGGCCTGCCAAGGCGGGCTGGGGGGAAAGCAGTGGGGGATCGTGCAGTGGCGGCGCGATCTTTCCATTCTATTCTATGGCCCCTTTAAACCTCTTCTCTCTTCACTTCCCCCTCCCAGCCAGTCTGGGGAAGGGAAGGGGAGGCTTTTGAAGATGCCTCCCCCCTTTTGCTTCCCCTTCTGACATCACATCCGGTGATGGCAGGGTGTGTGGCATATGCTAATTAACTATTATGCTAATAGCCTCTTAGGTATGCTAATGAGCTCCTGCAGCTCTTTTTCTACGAAATGACCCTTGACTAGAAGTAATATGTATGCTAATGAGCTCCTGCACCTCTTTTTCTATGAAATGACCCCTGGCTACAGGAATGTTAGTGGCAAGTTATTTGGTATAGTCCAACCCTCCACCAATTGATACTTGGCTAATGGATAAGATTGTGGTTTACAAACAGATAAGACGGGGAGAGAGAAATATGTACAGTCACTCTTCATGCAAAGTCGGTCTTTATTCTTCACTTACTGGAACAAAGTTATGCCAGAGGAGGTGACAAAAACTTGCAAAGTTAAAATGTATCTAAATAGATTTAAGGGGAAAATGAATTCATTTATATACTCTGGCTTTACTTATCTGTGCATTATGTTGGCAAGCGATGGGAGTTCTTGGTTATTGTGAAAGGAAAGTGATTGGAGGTATGTATCAGTGTTATATTCTAAATCAGTTATATTCTAAACCAGAGAGCCAGTTTGGTGTAGTGGTTAAGTGCGCGGTCTCTAATCTGGGAGAACCGGGTTTGATTCCCCACTACTCCACTTGCACCTGGCTGGATGACCTTGGTTCAGCCATAGTTCTGGCACAGCTGTTCTTGAAAAAGAGCAGTTTCTGTCAGAGCTCTCTCAGCCCCACCTACCTCACAGGGTTATCTGTTGTGGAGAGGGGAAGGGAAAGGAGCTTGTAAGCAGCTCTGAGACTCCTTTTGGTAGCGAAGGGTGGGGTATAAATTCAATCTCTTCTTCTCTTCTCTTCTCTTCTCTTCTCTTCTCTTCTCTTCTCTTCTCAAGGTTTATAATAAATGATCCAAAAAAAAAGGAACACACTTGGAACCAATAGAGTTAAAATCCTGCTGAGGAACCATCCTGGCCAATTATAATAAATCTTTCCCCTGGGGAACAGGGCTGCCTCCCACCCCTATACTCTGTCTCCCCACCCTTACCGTATGGAGCAGTGGGAGAGAAAAATGGGGGGGAGTGTCCAAATAAAATGGATAAAATGGAGGCGAGGATAACAATGAAAGCCGCTTCGAGTACCCATTGGGTAGAAAGGTGGGATATAAATAAAGCAAACAAATAAATGCCATTACGACACTTCTGGGTGAGTGGCTGGGTGACATGGCCACACCCACAATGTTCTAGGAAGCTCCCAGGTCTTTATGATAATTACCATAGAGATTTGAAGAATTCCTAGAGTGTCACAGATATAGCTACATCTCTTCCAGTTGCTCGGTCAGAAGTGTGGTCATAGTACTCGTGATGCTCTCCTTCCACAGACTCTGCTGACCAAAGCTCCGCGGGATTGCAAACAGAGGGCTAGCCGCCCTTCAGTGGGCAACCTTATGAAAAATGCTACATCACATCTCTCCTGCCTAACCCTAGACTTCTTTGCTATTTCTGCAGCTGCTATTTCTTGCTACACCAACACCATTGCATCTCTTCCACCAGTTTGGTGTAGTGGTTAAGTGCGCGGACGCTAATCTGGGAGAACCAGGTTTGATTCCCCCACTCCTCCACTTACAGCTGCTGGATGACCTTGGGCAAGCCATAGTTCTGTCAGAGCTGTCCTTGAAAGAGCAGTTTCTCTCAGAGCTCTCTCAGCCCCACCTGCCTCACAGGGTGTCTGTTGTGGGGAGGGAAAGGGAAAGGAGTTTGTAAGCCGCTCTGAGACTCCGAGTGAAGGGCAGGGTATAAATCCAATCTCCTCCTCGTCCTCGTCCTCCTCGTCCTCCTCCTTCTTCCTCTTCTACTTCCTCTTCTTCTTCCTCTTCTTCTTCTTCCTCTGCTTCTTCTTCCTCTTCCTCTTCTTCTTCCTCTTCTTCTTCTTCCTCTGCTTCTTCTTCCTCTTCCTCTTCTTCTTCCTCTTCTTCTTCTTCCTCTGCTTCTTCTTCCTCTTCCTCTTCTTCTTCCTCTTCTTCTTCTTCCTCTGCTTCTTCTTCCTCTTCCTCTTCTTCTTCCTCTTCTTCTTCTTCCTCTGCTTCTTCTTCCTCTTCCTCTTCTTCTTCCTCTTCTTCTTCTTCCTCTGCTTCTTCTTCCTCTTCCTCTTCTTCTTCCTCTTCCTCTTCTTCCTCTTCCTCCTCCTCCTCCTCCTTTACTGGGCTTTGTTAGAAAACCACAGTCTGCTGGATAAGCCCTTCTGAGTTCATTATGTAGTCCTTGAACATTAACGAACTCCCTCGGCCAGTTAGCTGCGGAGTTGCCCGCTGCATTTAGACTGGGACTTCGGTGACCTCTCTGTTCGTCATCGGACAGGATGAAAGTGTAGGAATGCACAGAAGAGCAGCTGTGAGGGGGTGAAAAGAGGGCAGGCCAAGTGTGTCAGAGTTTCCACGAGGAGGAGCGGAAAAAGACAGGCATGGGGCTGCCAAGGAGAATAAGTATCAGGCTAGAAACGGATAAGAGGGTTTTTTGTGGCTCTTTTTTTTTAATGAAGAGCTGAAAGTGGCACAAGAGGGTCATTCTTTATTCGTTCCTTATGTATTTACGAACTTAGTGTCCCACCTTTCCACCCTTGCAAAGACCTCCAAGGTAGCTAGCAATTTAAAACAGACATGCAGGAAGGGATGAGCTAGTTTGGTGTAGTGGTTGAGAGCGGCGGACTCTGATCTGGAGAACCGGGTTCGATTCCCTACTCCTCCACATGCAGCTGCCAGTGTGACCTTGGGTCACTCACAGTTCTCTCAGAGCTGTTCTTTCAAGAGCAGTTCTCTGAGAGCTCTATCAGCCCCACCTACCTCACAGGCAATGTTCCCTCTAAGCCGTGGAGTCTCATGAGCAAAAATTCTACTTTGTGAGCTACTAGCATTAAAGTTGTGAGCGAGCAATTTGGCTCCTGCATAAATTAGTTTGCTCTGGAGCCATCCTTCCTGAGCTAAGACAAAAATGTCTGAGCCAGTGGCTAAAAAACTGTGAGCTAGCTCACAC